TTCCCCCAGCTGAGCTACATCGGGGAAACTAGGCTCAGCAGAGTGACGTGGTTCCCGACGAGGTGGCATAATTCTAACAGAAGACACCAAAACCATTAGAATACTCACAAAAGTACAAGACTGCCAAACCTAGGCTCTGATACCAAACTAACACACCCCAACCGAGATCAGGGCATGTTGGCCGTCACGTGAAAGTGACGTAACCATGTGCACAATGCGGAAGCTAATAAATAATAATAAAAGTACGAATAAATAAAAACCCAGCTATACACAAAGTAATAACATACATGTGCAAGCGTAAGTGTGAAAAACAAAGTTCAGAGCATGAAAGACCTAGTGCAGTCCGGGAGAAACAACACTAAATAAACACACCCAATGGTGGTCCTACACTGGTGATAATCTGTCAGATAAGCCGGGAAAATCCTCTGGGGAGCCACCAAAAGCGCTAGCCAAACTAGAACCTGGAGGGGCGCAAAACAGAAAGCGTGAGTGGGCAAAAACAAAGCTTTTCAAAAACCATTTCATAAACAAAGTTCTAATCCCTCGCCGTAAAACCTGTATACTTCCCAGAAAAATAGAATATATACATATATATAATAACCATGCTCAGAAATATGTCATGCCAAATGCTTCGAATTAAAATGCAAGTACTCAGGTAATGCCAATCCATGCCATATAATCTGTCAACTGGAGTCACCTAACATGACCTGTACGGCTGAAACTAGAACTCAAATCTCCATCTCACTAACTATACTTGCACATGAGTCGGAACCACCTAAAGTGGTCTGTACGACAGGACTGGGTGTATAATAAGTAGCTTAAGTGCTACGATCACGTGAAGATTGAGCGAATAATCGCGGGTCACCTACGAGTCGGAACCTGTTGAGTTAATTCCTTCCTAATGCTAGAATATGTTTAGTATAATGGCACAAGTAAGGGTGTCGAATCCACAGGGACTAATTGATCCTATATAATCACTTGTTTTGCAAGAACTATATGAAATGAATAAAACTAATCAAATTAGGCAGATTTGTTATTGTAACTTGAAAACACTAGAAAATGAAGTAAACACAATTAAATGAATCAACAACTAATAAAATGGGATAGCACCAATGGAGATGAAGCTAGGGATTCGGTTTCACCATTGCTTAAACCAAGTCCATGTTTGTTAAGTTAGTTTATACTCAGCTATCTACCTATTTCTTGAGTTTGCTTCACTTAGATATGATCAACCATATGATGTGTGGATTTGATCACATGTCCTTAATCATGAGCCTAGTTGTGATGTGCAACTTTGGTTCCTAATCAAGAAGGTGTTACGAACAAGAAACTTTCATAAAACCAAAGGTAACACTTGGCAGGTTGTTTGCAAAGTATTCCCTTCATCCATTCACATATCTACCAAGAATATGCATGATGTGTGCTCTAATCTTGGCTAAACAACCTGTGGTTAATTTAAATGGTGATCAAACATTAAAATCAACCCACAAAGTCACAATTAAATCAGAGAATGAAACAAGAAATAGATGGACAAACTGAGCATTCTAACTTAATTACATGGCAAACTTTGCAAGGCTACATCGAATCCCTAGAGGGAGATTAGTTACACTTCATGTTTACAAAAGGTATTGACATAAAAAATATAAAACATGAGTGAACATAGAATTAATAAGAAGAAACCCTTGAAGCAAAACTGATGTCGAAATCCCTTAAGAGTGCCTTCGTGGTGGTTCTCCAAGTGTGATGAAAATGAAGGTAGATTGGCTATGGTTGAATGGTTTTTGCACTTGGGAGAACAAATGGTCAGAGATGGAGTGAAATGGAGTGGTTATGCGTGTGAATCATGGAATGATCGAAAAACGCCTTGTTGTGTGAAATGTGCATGGTTTTATAGAAGGGAAATGTCACTGCCATCATTAAGAATTGAGCTGGAATTGCACATGTGAGATAGGAGTGCATAAATGAGCTGGAATGAATGGGTTTCTGAGGTGGTGGACGCACGGCATGGGCAATGTCCAAGCATGTGGCTATTTTAATTGAATCATGCATGTGTATTGGCTGCAAAGATGAATTGGACAACCTGGAATTGGTTGTACAAATCTGGAAAGGGGAAGAAATCACACGGCATGGACAAAAGGGGCGCTGGAATGGCATGGAATGATGGGATGAGTGGTTTTCTGGAATAATGGGTGCATGGCAAAAGGGAAATGTGCAAGCATGGGGTTTATTTAATTGAGATGCATGTGGATTTCTGCAAAGATGAAGTGGAGAAAGGTAATGGAATGCACGGTCAGATTGTGAATCATGCATGTGAATGCATGTTTTGGTATTAGAAGTGCATAATCTGACTTGGAATCACATGGGAGTGCACGGCCAGGTTGGGATCATGCATGTGACTGCATGTTTTGGTGTTGGAACCACATAATCTGACTTCAATGTTTTTGCCTTGTTTAGAATCACCCAATATGGCCGAATTGCACCACTTAACACTTCCACATCATTTCCTGAAATTCCAGCAGTCAAAAGTTTCCTAGGTTCTTCATTTGGACTTCAATTTAACTCCCTAGAATCCTCTCCACGCTTGGAATAATGCTCAGCTACCAAAAGGAATGGTTTTTACTTCATTTGCCTTCCCTTTGATCCAAATACACACTTGACTGCACACTAACACCAAATAATGTAAAATGCAACTAGTTCAATCAAAAACATCACAAAGACGCCAAATAAGGAATATATAAATGCATGCAAAATGAGACTTATCAGAACCACCTAAAGTGATCTGTACGACAGGACTGTGCACCTAACTTGGATCCAAGATGAGCGTGTGGTGCGGGAGGTGAACATCACGTGAAGGACTGTGCCCAACTTTGGGCGGGAGCACTAACACCGGGGGTGCAAGTTATGAGCTCTCTATGCATCTCAAATCACTACTGAACATAAACATAAACCATAACTCACTTGACATTTACCTGTGCGTCCGCAGCACCAACACACACACACAGATATATATATATATATATATATATATATATATATATATATATATATATACGTATATGCAACTAATAATGCATAATTAAATGGGTAAACATAATGCATGGCATATAAACGTATAAACGTTTCATTTCACTTTCTGGGAAAAACATAAGTATATAGGTATATACGGAAAACCAAAAGCCCACTCACTAGTATGTAGAAGGGTCGTAACCCCCTTGCCTCGAGTGACCGCGCTTGTCCTCGGGATAGGTATCACCTATATGCGAAACAACTATAAAAACATAAATTTTAAAGCACTAACCAACAATACGAAATAACTTCTCATACAATGCTCAAGTGGGGTGTATGAATACACCAACGTGATCTACTCAACCACACGAACATCCCCATATTTTTAAAATAATTTTCCGACGCCGCACGCGCCCCCACGCACCGGCCAAGGCACGGCCACACGCGCCGCCCACGCGCAAGCATGTGCCTGGCACACTGACGGCGTTAGTTAACGCCGTCAGGAATATTCCATTAACTCTGATGGATTCCGTTAACGTCGTTAGGAATATTCCGTCCAAACTGACGGAATATTCCGTCATCTTCTCCGGCCAAACTCCGGTGTCGTCGCCGGCACTGGAAAACCGGGAAATTTTCAAAGCTTGATATGTTCTTCGTTTTTCAACCAAATTTCAAAAAATTGGTACCAAAATGAAGCTTACAACAAGAGGAACAAATCCATAACACTTTCAAGCACTAAAACCACCGGAATCTCGCTAGGAAAACACCACCCACTCCGGCCAAACCTGCAACTCACGATCCCGATGTCCAAAACCTTCAAACGAACCACCCCGAGCCTCCTAACAACCTCACCAAGCTTCCTACAAACTTGAAATTCCCAAAAACACAAGGATTAACGTGTGCACGAACAGTGACCAAAATCCGGGATCTCGAGTTCGACGTGAAAACGAAGGTATCCTTACCTGAAATGGGTATGGTTGAACTTCTAAGGACCTCACGAGCACAAATATGTAGTTTGTTTCCTCGATCCGTGACGATTTCAAGGGTTTGTGGTGTTGTCGGTACGAAAAGGATAGGAAAGGGAGAGAGAGAGTCTTGGGACACGGCAGAGAGAGAGAGGAAATGAGTGTGGGTGTGTGTGTGGTCCAAAATCAACTAACCAATGCTCAAAAATGACCACACAACGAAACAAACATACTAGGGGCAAAACCGTCATTTCATCCCTACGGTACGAAAAGTCCGGAACGGGCTGTCACATTAGGCTTAATAACATTAGTAAATTTCTTCAATTAAACTTGACATGGATACATTCTCAAATCAAGAAAAAAAAATGTACCCATATAAGTTTAAAAATGGATTAGGAAAAAAATTGAATAGATTATATATATATATATATATATATATATATATAAATAAAATTTAAGAATGTGTACATTATAAGATTAAAAAATTGAAAACCTTTTTATAAAATTAAGGGGTACAAACTTATCTAATTTATTTTTTTTTTATCTTGGAAATGTTTTGAATTGAAAATTAGTTAGTAGTTTAATAAAGAAGTAAGTATTAAAGTCTTAAATCAATTATTAATTTTTATTTTAAAAATTACGTAACTTAAATGTAAATTTATTATTGCATTAAGAAACTTTGATGAAAAACTGAAAAATAATAACATTTTAACTAGGGACGGATACCAATTGTTTCTTCAAAAATTCCCCCAAACAATGATAATCTTCTCTCCAATCTTCCATACCAGACTAATTCGATGCTTTTGTTCTTCTTCTTGCCGAAGCAGTCTTACGGAACCCCTACCCCTTCAAACTCTACTCAAAAGCGGCTTCACTCCCACGCTCAAATCCATCGTCCAATTCCTTCTCTTCCTCTCTCGAACGCGCCGGTTCAACACCCTCCTCCACTTCTTCTCCCGAATGGAGTCCAATCAAATCAAAGGCAACTCCCAGGCGCACTCCATCGTGACCTGGGCTCTCCTAGATCTGCAGAAATATGAAGAAGCAGAGCATTTTATGAGGACACAGATGACCGAAGCTTCGAAGTTGCGGCGGAATCGGATGATTGACTCTCTGATTCAAGGCCTGTGTATCAACCGGAAAGACCCCGAGAAGGCTTTGTGACCCACGGTATTTTTCCTTCTTCTTTCACGTTTTGCTCGTTAATTCATTCGTTTAGCAATGAGGGAGATATGAGCAAGGCAATTGAGGTGCTGGAGTTGATGACTGATGAGAAAGTTAAGTACCCTTTTGATAATTTTGTTTCTAGTTCAGTGATTTCCGGGTTTTGTAAGATTGGGAAGCCGGAAATCGCAGTCAAATTTCTTTAGAATGCGGTGGATTCTGGAGCTTTGGAGCCTAATATTGTGACTTATACAGCACTAGTTGCTGCTCTTTGTAAAAGGGTGGAGTTAATGAGGTTTGTGATTTGGTTTGTAGGATTGAGAAGCAAGGTTTGGCATTGGATGTTGTTTTGTTTAGTTGTTGGATTTGTGGTTATATTTCGGACGGGGTTCTGATGGAGGTTTTCCTGAGTCTGCATGTGAAGTGTATTTGGTTATGAGGAGGAAAGGGTCAGTTATCACAAGCAAAACTTACTACACAATTTTAAAAGGTCTAATTGGTGGTGGGAAAGATTCACTAACTCAGTCTTTCTCGAACATCTCTCTGAAAGAATATGGCCTAGAAGAACCCAAGGTAAGCAGGATTCTGGCTTACGACATATGTCTGAAGGGCGTTGATGATGCTCTCCGATTTCTAGACAAAATGAAGGACAAGCCTGCAACCGTCACTTTGCCTGTTACTCTTTTTAACACACTTATAAAGAATGGTAGAGTTTTGGATGCATATAAACTTGTCATGGTGGCTGGAGATGGTCTATCTATTCTAGATGCATTTGATTATTCACTTATAGTTGATAGTCTTTGTAAAGTAGGATATATCAATGAGGCATTAGATCTGTGTAGTTTTGCTAAAAATAAATGGGTGACCCTTGATATCATCATTTATAATTCAGTTATAAATAGATTATGCCGCCAAGGCCACCTTGTTAAAGCATTTCGGCTATTTGATTCATTAGAGAGAATTAATTTGGTACCCACGGAAATCACTTATGCTACATCGATTGATGCCTTACGTATAGAGGGGTTTCTTCTGGATGCCAAGCAGTTTTTTGAGAGGATGGTTCTCAAGGGCTTTAAACCAAATATACATGCATACAACTCGATTATTGATGGTTATTGCAAAATTGGAGATATGAATGATGCCTTGAAGGTTCTTTATGATTTGGACTTAAAATCCCTCCAGCCTGATGAATTCACTGTTAGCATTGTAATCAATGGCTTTTGTCTAAAGGGTGATATGGAAGGGGCAATCAAATTCTTTGTCGAGCTTAAAGGAAAAGGTACATTACATGATTTTTTGGGTTTCTTGTATTTACTAAGAGGTCTATGCGCCAAGGGAAGGATGGAAGAAGCTCGAACCATCTTGAGAGAAATGCTTCACTCCCAATCTGTTGTTGAGCTAATAAACAGAGTTGATGTTGAGGTTGAGACAGATTCTTTAGAAGGTTTTCTTGTTTCTTTGTGTGAACAAGGCCGTATCGAAAAAGCACTTACTGTCCGTAATGAAATTGGGTGCATGTTTTTCCCTGTTAGAGATTCACCCCATACTCACCAACAATCTCATAAACTAGACAAGCCTTGTGACAGGGAGGCTTCTGGTACAGTTGTTTCAACTTCTGTAACCTACACTGATGCAGAGTTGGATAGTCAGCTTTCTGAAATGAAGAAAGTAGAGAAGGTGGCTGAAAATTATGATGGCATGGAGAGAAGGTCTCAGTTTAATGACTTTGACTATTGCTATAAACAAATTGCTATACTCTGTTCAAGTGGGGAGATACAAAAGGCTAGCCAGTTAGCAAAGGGGATGGTTCCCAATTTTGGCAGGGCCACTTGGTATAATTGAAAAATCTGGCTAAAATGGTGTTGTAACTTCCTTCCCCTTCAATAAGGGACCAATGAAAGCAGTTACAGGTATATCTTCTCATTCTTTGAAAGTTTTTCTACCCTTTCAAATTAGTAATTGTTAATTGCGTGTGTGGTATGTAAGTGTGCTCTCGTTATTTATTTGTTTGTGTTATGCCATTTGATTTTTAAGCTTGGAAAGACATATGTATTGTTTATCTGCAATCTTTGTGTGCATATATTCAATTGATGATATAAGTGATATGAGGTCGCGTTTGGTACGCGGGATGGGACGGAACAGAGTGGGACGAAGCATTCCGTCCCACGTTTGGTGCGCCTAAAATGAGTGGAACGCGTTGTTCCAGGGAACAAGTTTTGGATGATTTTTTGTTCCACCTCCCCCCCTGGAACGGGTTGTTCCACGTCCGTGGGACAGAAATTTCTATTATTTTAAGACAAAAATGCCCCTTGTCTTTTTCAAAATTTACAACATCAAAATCAAATAACAAACCCTAAAAACTATCTTCTCTTCTTCTCAGCCGTTCCTCTTCACCTCTGCATCCCTCTCCCCTTCGCAACCTTCCTGCTCATCTTCTTCTGTGTAGCCTCGCAACCTTCCTCCTCGTCCCCTTCGCAACCTTCCTCCTCGTCCTCTTCCGTGTAGCAGCTCTGCGAACTTGGTGGTCCTCAGGTCTCTCTCTCTCTCTCTCTCTCTCTCTCCTCTGTATTTTTGGGTAACTTGAATGTTTGAATTGGTGATCACAAAATCAAGATTTGTTTGTCAGTTACAATATTAATAAGTGCCTGATTTCATTTGTAAACTATTTCTGTTTACAATAAATCCAAGTTGTTTGATGGGAAATCTGGTAACAGGCTGAAAGTGATAGCCTTTCTGCTTTTAGCCAAGAGTACATGATTTCTTATGCCATTGTATTCATCGGATTAATCCGGAGAAGAGTACATGGCCTTCCTACACGCCGACACGGCTTGGACATGGGGCAGGGGCCTTTTGTAAAATATTTTGGGAGTAGTTTTGGAAATATTGAATGTAAAATATTTTGGGAGTAGTTTAAGTTATGCATATTTCATTTTCTTTGTTTAAGTTCTAAATGTTTAAACCCTAAAACGTTTACGATGCATGATCATTAAACTTATATATTTTTCAACATTTGTCATGTGCTCTTATGTGGTTTGCCTTGTTCCTGCAATGGGGAATATTTAGAGGGGTGTCTTTCTAAACAAGGCCAATTCTAATGTTTGTAGAACCTGAACTCCCTGAACAACAACCCACAATTGAAAGGACCAAAATTAGGGACTAAAAATTGAATTGGGGTGTGGGTTTTGCAATTTGCACAATAAAATTTGATGGGTTTGTGGTGAAAATTCAAATGGAGGTGTAGAAAACGGGAAAAATTACAAATTTTAAAGGGGTTTGCATGTGAAACACAACATATACCTATTAAAATTTGGACCAAGAAAAACAAATAATGGGTGTTCAAATTTGAACAACTTATAAAAAAAAAATAAAAAAAAAAATAAAAAAGTCTTGTCCCGTTCCGCCCATAAAATTGTACCAAACAACAGACGGAACATGGGTATTTTAGTCATTTTAATCTTTTGGTTCCGTTCCGTCCATGTGCTACCAAACGCAGGACGGAACAACAGTCTTGTTCCGTCCTGCGCGTACCAAACATAACACAGAACATCCGTCCCGTCCCGTCCCGTCCCGTCTGCGTACCAAACGCTACCTGAGTGACATTATTTATCCGCTTTTTCCTGATGGTATCTGAAGACTTTTGGACTTCCAGATAAGCTATCTTTGTCAACATATTGATGGAAAGTTTAAAATTTAACAACATATTCATGGTTCATTATCTTTGTTCTGACACTGTTATGATTTGCTGTTAATAATTGTTTTTTTGCTTATGTTAATCGCTGCATTTATGTGAACGCATATTTATATGTACTGACGTTCTTACATATATGTATACAGAGACTATGCCCTAAGTATAAGTTTTGGCTGCAACAGAATACTGTCAAACTAAACAGTATCAGCTGGTGGAACTTAAAACCGATGGTTGTTTTGAAAAGGTTTTGTGCCATATAAACTTTTTCGTTGCTTTGGCATCATGAAGATGAAAGGTAACCCTCTATATTGTTTCAATTCTTTCTTTGTTTATTTGTTTCTTTTGTCTATTAGTATTTATTGCTTAGTTACAGAAACCTGCTGCACAGTGTGGCGTTCAACCTTAAGTCGCCCTTGCTGCCGTCAAAGTATATGATGGAAAAACTGGATGGTTATTTGTGCCCCAGGTAATTCACCAGCTCAGATGCATGAGTAACAGGTTAAACTCTCACCGGTTTTTATTTTTTATTTTTAACGTGTGCTATTTTTTCATTGCCTCCCCAAATATTTGGGCTACCTAGTCTAGGATTGAGACTTTGTTGATGATACTCTGTCTTCAAAGTAAGTTTTAAATTTTATATGCATTTCCCTACTCGCTTCGTACTTAAAACTGGGGCGTGATGATTATTTTGCTTTGTTCGCCTCTTTTCTTTCTGTCTGTATCTGCAAAAGACCCATTTTCTTTTTCTTCTTTTTCTTTTCTCTTGAATTGTCATTGTTTTTTCTTGAACCTCTTGCAGATTCCTCTGCTATAAGTATTTTTCGTTTCCATAATTATAGAGGAGAGCTGCAGCGTGACACCAGATTATCAAACATTTCTCTCTTGTAAGCAAGCTTAACTGCAGAGTCCTAATAGATTATTGTGTATGATAACACCTAAATCATGTTCTTTCTTTTCTTTCGGTGCTTTAAATTCTCTTAATTTTACGGTATTGATTGATGAGCTAACAATTTCTCTTTAATCTTAGCCAAGGGACTTGCCACAACCCGGTGATACTAGTTCGATTTAGTATTATCCGAACTTGTATGAAATCCAGTGTTACTCAACAAATGAGGTCTGGTGAAACATGTTGTCAACCTGCTTTATAACAGAAGAGAAAGTTCCATTAAAGCAGCCTTAAGAAAACGGTGTTTGTAGAACGATGCACGTTGTCAATCAGGTTCAGGGATGCAGATATTGATTTGTTTCATCACCTCCGGATGATTTGGGCTTGGTTAACATTTGGTTTGAAAGAAGACACGCAAATTACGATTTCTTTGCTGCAAACGCAGAAATGTAGAGTTTCTTCATTTTCTTCACCTAATATCTCACAATCAAACAGTTAGTAGAACTTGTTCGACAGAAATAAGATGTTTCATCGGTGCTTCAAATTCCCAAAATGGTCCTTATCTGGTCTGGAGGATGCCTTGCCAGTGATTTGGGATCTGAGTAGCCATTTTTGGGATCCATAATTGCTTCATATGTAATGTCATATGCTTCGGCCAATGATTTAGCCACTTGGATACAAGCCACATCTTTTAAGGATCACATCGACTTCATTTTCTACAAGGGCTTGCATGTGTTTAGCTATCATCCCGAGGCACTTCACGTATTCCTCTGCAACCTCATGCCCAAGCAATGGTTGTTGTATGGCACACAAGCAATTGATGAGGAATATCTTCGAGGATGTTTCACTTGACTGCACCAATCCATTGAATAGGTATTAGGACGAAAGAAATGAAGAAGATTATGCATAAGAATCACACGAACATCTTCGAAACTAGCTTGAAATTTATAAGAATAAGGGGCACATCTTTGGACTTTTGCTGAACCAAACATTGGTGTTTGGCAGGGGTGGGAGAGGATCTTGTTTGTCTTTGGCAAAGATTGATTTGGGATTAATCATAATTTGGCACCAGGAATAGATGCACACAAGTTGATGAGAAGTACAACAAAATGTAACAGCAAGCCATGCCGCTGAAGATAATCTGAAATCAGACGCTCGGAAAGTAATGAGAAAAGAAACCTGAGATGACGGGGCAGAATTGCTGTTGGACAATAGTGCATCAACTGGTGATTTAAGAAATTGACCTAAGTCAGAACTCATCCTATTTTTTCTTGAAGAGTAGCCAACTCCCTTGGACTTGTGGGCCTCTGCAGCTTGCTCACATATTTGCAATGGTAGGAGTAAGGAATTTAAATTGCTTACAGGAGTGGTTCTACTAATATAGAGAGCATTTGTTTGTGGGATCACACGAACTCAAAGCAATAGGCACAAAAGCACTCAAGGTGAAGTTCTCCGTAAGTTTGTTCTTAATCAATGGGAATGCGACAGTTTTGAAGCTTCGAGCATGCCTGAAAAACTAATGTCAATGTTGCTTTGACCATCATGAAACCATATTATGTCCATCAATGCCATATATGTAATGGATGTCCAGCACAACGCACCTTAATAATTGGATCAAGTAAAGCAGATATGACTGGACCAAAAGAAGGATTTTTGCCTAAAGTTGGAAGCATCATGCTGTTATGGGTCTCAACTATTTCAAGCAAAAGTGAGACTTCTTCCCTTACTGCTGGTGGAGGGGAGAGTTCAACAGAAACAAGGGGAGGATACCTCAAAAGCTTTTCCCCTCGGGTTTTCAGAATATCAAAGAAAGTTTTCTGAGCAGCATCCTTTAGTGTCCACAGTGTATCAGATAATGCTGTTTCTCTCCCAATAAATTCCGATACCTGCAAGTAGACAGACAGCCATATATTAGGAGACAAAGAAAAGAACGCCAAACATGTGGGACAACTTATTCCATTGATGGATAGGAAAAGGGATCACTTACAGTGTGGCTGTAAAACTCCAGGGTATTACTTAGTTTGTACGAAATTATAAGGCTGTCTTTCGAGAATCACTCTCAGGGCTCTTGGAGAACTGGTTTCTAGTTGGACTAGCATCTCCCGCGGCATCTGGATAAAGCCTGCAACAGGAACAAGAAGAAGAAGGATGAATTATATTCACAAATGGAAGTGCAACACAACCAATAGGTCTTTGTTTTCACATCTGATGTAACCAACCTAGCATGTCCCCGAGAGTTAGTATCACCTTTTATGTTTCCATGATCCAGAAAATAAAAAATTCAGATGTGAGAGAGTAGAGAGTGCCTGATGCTGTGTTCTCAAGAGCAATTTACAATTGGCATGATGAATTTCTTGAACATGTGAAAGCGCCTTGAAGAAGTTGTCATTCAGTTCTTCATCCCTCAATGCACTTCTCACAAACCCAAATCAACAAATCAATCCACTGATTCGAATCTCAACACAAACCAACACCAAAAGCCCAAATCAAAAACTAAATCGATTGATTCGAACCTCAACCAGAAAACCCTAATCAATCAATTCATTGAAATCTCACAACTTATAAACGCATATGGTTTGATGGGTACCTCTTGATTAGAGAGCTGGTACTCGCGTAGGAAGCAAGAGACGATCTGCATGAGCCCTTCGGTGGTGGCGGTGCAGCTGCTGAGAGCGACAGCGATCTTGTCGCAGCTAGTGGCCAAGGCCTCTTGGGCAGCCAGGGAGGCCTTCAGGAACTTGAGGTTGGTGGCGAGGCCTCGCTTCTCGATGGTGGATCGGAGGTTCCGCCGCGACTGAGGGGTATTTTCGGAATAGAAAGATGAAAGGGTGTTGAGTGAGGCCAGCACATCGGGCGAGTCGGTGCGACACTCCAAGACCTTTTTCAGCTTCCGGGAAAGTCCCGGCGCCAGCTTCGCTCGTGTCAGATTAGCTAGTTGTTGAGACAATAGTTTATTAAGGTGATGATTCCGAGAGAATGATCATTCACATTGGGATTGAGACCAATACAAGAATTACATAACGTACCAACGTATTAACACATACCCAAATTAAAATTACACAATGTTTGATACATATGTGAGTCACTCGATGAAGGGTATGCTGTGGAACTTTTGCTGTTGAAAAAATTGATGCAAGTTGAAAGGTTGTAAACTTCAAATTAAAAATTAGTAAAAGAAAAGCTTAATCTATGGATACTTGATTTAAAATTTTGAAATTTGAAACCTCTATATCAGAATATGTTTTGAACTTAAAAATCTCTCACTTATTGCTAAAAATGCATATCACTAAACCGCAGTTCCAATTGCGTTATACTATTTACAACAGTATAGACTATACATTACACACTTGTTCAAAATACATGAGCTTAATATCAGATAATATCATAGGCATATATTATTGCATATTCTTTAGCTCCAAAAGCCTAGACCATCTCTTATCAACAGAAACAGTGCTTTTTCCACCAATATCTGCAAATCACAAATTGTGGGGAATTAATTACTTTCCTTGCTCAAAATAATAGCTAATTTTTTCTTGTCACACAACACTTACACTGCACAGTGGGATATGATTTCTCACACAGCTCTGAACAAGTATCCTGCAAAGTACAATTTCACCCCGTCGTTAATCAATCATTAAGGGTCTTCCTTTCGTGCTTTATGTCCGTATTATGATCGAAACTATTTCATTACTGGTTCATACTTTAATGGAGGTTGCAAGCCGTATCGTGTCCTGTATGAGTGAATCAAGTTCTGCTTCATTTCCAGGCTTCACGTAGATAACCTGTTGCAGCATGCAGCTGTGTGAACACACTATCATGGGGGGCTGAGAGAGAGAGAGAGAGAGAGAGAGAGAGAGAGAGAGAAGGAGAGCAAGAGATACAGAGAGTTTAGGGACTTAATGATGGATCGTCGCCACCGATTTCAGGAAGTTGAACCGTGTGTTCGTCCCTGCTTGATGACAGAACCCACACGTTGAATTGTGTGTCAATCTGTTTAGACACAACATAACCAGATGAGTGCTGCAAAATTTGCGTCTCGTTTATTTCCATAAAGTACGATGTTAATATGTTTACCAACGCATAATTTGCTGAATAAATTTAGGATCTCTAGCATTATTATTGTTGTGTTGTCTGGAATTTATATATGATTGAAGTAACGACTAAGATTTCATGCTTCTGCTAAGAAAATAAATACCTTTCTGCAGTAGGTAGAAGAGCAGTTGCTACATTTTCTGTTGAATGATGTTAATATCTTTCCATCAACAGAGAAGCCAAAGCTAGCATGCTGCAGGTAGTCATAAGCAGAAGGGAATTAACACTGGTGCTTAATCGAAAAAACTGTCTCGTTAAGGACGATTATCTAATTTGCTATTCGAAAAAAATGGGAGCGACCTTGTGGACGCAGAGATTAACCGAAATTTGGGCGTCATGTGTATTTTCATCTTCGATCAAATCATCCAAACGCAGGTCTTGGAGGGAGAGAATGTAATCACAGCTCCAATTCCCATGCCATTTCCCATCTGCTGTTGATAATCTGATCACGCTCCGTGGGCTACTACTCCTGCTCTTCTTTTTGTTACCCTGAAGCACAAGTGGCAGCTCAACTATATTTATAATGCTATGGAGTAGTTATGCCTAGAACAATGTTCGGTTTGATAGACTTACGTAATCAGACTATGAATCTATATTGCGTATGCATACAAAAAACCACACATCCATATAACAATTGATGTGATCGATGGTACGCGGACTTATAGTTCGACCCCTTAAGCATCTTACTATACACAACATAAATGAAGAAAGCAAAAAAGCATGAGAGAAATCTGTGTTGTTTGAGGTTGGTACCAGAGAGAGAGATTTCCTTTTAGAAGAAGCTCTGATTGTGAAAGCACGAGACACCGAATCGGAGAATTTGGGGTTTGCCGGAGTTACAGAGAGAAGCTTAATATGCCTTGCTGATACCAGATGACCAGCTTCTGCCATCTCTCTTGGACTATAGGTCTTGTCCGGAAGGAGGAGAAATGTCGGACATGAGTTCTTGTTCGGAACCTTATCATCATATAAAGCGGTGGTACTTGGAAGTTTGGGAGACACTCAAAACATGGGCTAAAATTACAATGCTGCCCTCTTATGAAACGTTGTTTTGTTTAGGAAGCAAATTGTATCAATAGTCCAACAATTTAAATTAATTAGAGTAATGGTCCATCAACTAAAATTTTATGATTATTGATTCTTTAAGTCATCAAAACATATAGTTATGATTAGGGGTGGTCAAATAGGTTCTGTACCCACAGATCAGTGCGGGAAGGGGCGGGTACAAAATTTCAAAACACAAAACAGAACGGGACGGGACGGGACATGTAACCAAAATTAGTGGGGCGGGGCAGGTTCAAAAATAGGAAGGAACGGGCCCCTGACCCGGCCTGTTTCTAGCTTTCTAGCTTTAGAAAATGGAAGTGGGTTTAATGTATGTCAAATCCCTCCACCTTTTATTGCCATATTTTCATCTCACAGACTGACTCAGTTTCCCGTTCTCCATTCATTCACGACTCAAGCTCGAGTTGAGTCCTCGACAGTAGCCGTCCTTCAACAACCACCATCAGACTCCATAGCCCTCGACAACCACTATCAGAGTCCTTGACAGTAGCCATCTTAGACTCCACAACCCTCGATTCCGTCTTCATCTCCCTTTTTCTGGCAAAATGTCAGTGGCGGTAACCTTCAACAACCACCACCATCATCATCTCTCCGAATTGAGACCACCATCGTCATCTCATCTCCTTTCAAATTAAGGTAATATAATTTCTAAACTCTTAATTTTAACTCTCTGGTTAATTTTCTGGATTTAGGGATTTATGGTTATTTGCAATCTTTGATTCTCTCTGATCAATTTTTATATTTGAGAGTTAGGGTTTTCTACAATCTCTCAGTCTGTTAAGCAGTTCTTCATACCCTAAACACAATCCATAAATTTTCCTTCATGGAAATTAAGAATTAGGAAGTTAGGGATTTAGGGTTCAAATGTTCATTACTGTACCTACCGGGTATTCCATAATGTTTGAAATTTGAATTGGGAATTAATGTATTGTTCAAACTTGCAGGCTTGTTGTATAGCATTGAATGGGAATTTATTTATTGTCCAAATCTACAAATGTACAACAGCTTGACATATTTGACATGTCTCACTTCTTAATTCTTTAATCTTTGGGGGTTTTGTGTTGCTAAGGAAATTTCTGATGCTATTTCAATTTTGACATCATTGCTAAGGAAAATACTTTTGTGCTGTAAATTTATTTGAGGATAATTTGATGATTGTTCTTTTCGTGATGATAGTTCTGTACTAGTCTCCCTAAATACAACTCCTCAGTATGTCAGAGGAATCTAAAGAACTATTGTCAGGTAATGCAAAGTTGAGTGCTGCTCTTTGTTGCGTGTATTTTCTTTGATGGATTGCTTTATTTGAATCTTGATATAATCAGGCATTTCATAGTAGTCCAGCATTTGAACTTACCAGCTCCGATGACTTTGTTTGGTTTTTTTTAACTCCCTTTCGAGCAGCCCTACATTGAATTGGCGCACTGCTATGTCAACGAAAAAATTGTGCATTTGGAGGCAATGGTTGATAGACACAAGAAAAAGTATGACAATGTGAGTTCTTATTATGTGTTCATCCTGTTGTTTTTCCTTTATTCGTATGTCGTATCCATGGTGTCAAAGGAAAAGTGGATGCAACATGATTTCTCTGTAACCTACGATTCTCTGACTTGAATTCTTCAACCTTCTTAATTTGGCTTTGGAATTTTGTTTTTCTCCAGGACAACAATCTTGTTGGACAGTTGGACTGGTGAGACAGATATTATCTTCCCAGTATAATCGAAACATTCAGAGACTGACTTAGACATACTCGACTCTTTCCCTTCAAGATTTTCAGCAACCTGGCCCTCTTCATTTAATTTATAATATATATATATATAACAAAAAAAAAAAAAAAAAAACCAAGGACCCATGGACTCGGCCCGAATCGGCCCGTTTCAACCGGGTTCGGTAAAGTTCGATTCCTATATAAGAATCTGCTATCCCCGGCCCGCACCGGCCCGTACCCACCCCTAGTTGTGGTCATTTTCGTTAAGTCTGTTAGAACTTTCATCAAATGAGTCACGTGGGCTGAATCAAATGGTAAGTATGAAAAATCAAATGAAAAAAATTATAGCAATGATTACTTAATTTTAACCCAAATGAAGAATTGGTCTCGAAACTTTAACCCAATTGTAACAATTATTCCACTCTAACCCATTTTGACAAAATTGTAATGGAATTGATGAAGCGGAATGGCTGCACTTTTTTTGAGTTAGAACACCGAATGCCCATCTTCATTTGCCTCGATAACATTGGGGCTTCGAAACCCTGGAACAGGTGGAATCATCTGGTTAGAACCCTAAGGTACACACACTCTCTCTCTCTGCCTTAAACCCTAATATTTTGCGTACTCCCAAAAGTTCGAAGATCTCGTTTGTCGACCACATCGGCAGGGCAGGCGGGACTAATCTCTTAACTAGGCTTTGCTACAAAATTTTATGAATGTTTTTCTTAATGATACAATTCTTGTTTATTTTATTTTCTGGTGCTTGAATCCTATCATGGTTTGAGGGCTCTCATTCAATTAATACTAATTTTTTTGAGATTCAGAAGTTATTATTCCGAATTGAAGTTTCCTTCGAAAATCGAGAATTACTTTAAATTTTGATTTAAGTTTTTATCAATTGAAGAATGCCACAAAGATGGGGTTTTCGGAATTGTGTTGATCAATTTGGCTGACTTAATTTCTGTAAGACTGTTTGTGTTCCCATCGTTTTCGGGTTCATCTTAGAAAGTTTTTCTAGTCGGCAGCAATTCGGGTTTTCTGTATTTAGTAGTAAAACAGCTCAGTACTTACTAAAGTGGTCATGCGTATTTATAAATGCTTCTGACCATTCGTACGAGTTTTCCTGAAATTTGTAATGTGCAGGTTGTAGTTAGCACAAGGCTGTTTTAATGCCCGTTAATTAGTCGATTCATACTTAAGGTACCGTTTGGTACGTGGGACGGATGTAACAGAGTGGGACAAGGCGTTCCGTCCCACGTTTGGTGCACCTTGTTCCACAGGACGAGTTTTGGGTGAATTTTCGTTTCACCTCATCCCCCTGGAACGACTCGTTCCACATCCGTGGAACACAAAATTATAACCTCTCCGTCTCCTTCTTCTTCCTCCTTGTTTCCATCCGAGGGCATCTTTGCTCCCGCTCCGTTCCGTTCCATCCTGTCCCGTCCCGTCCCATTCCGTTCCGTCCCGTCCCGTCTGCATACCAAACGATACCTGTGTTCCCTTTTTTTTTTCTCGACAGAAAATGATAGGGTCCATTTTGCCCTTACCAGCTCCTCCTTCTGATGGAGACCTTGGGCCTCGTCCGGAATCCCAAGTGACTGAACTCAATCAGGATGAGAAGCAATTGGACGAGGAGTTGAGCAAAGCCAACTCTACATCAGTTGCGACGCATACCAAGGCTATTGGTATCATACATCCTCCTTCAGACATTAGAAACATTGTTGACAAAACTGCCCAATTTGTGGCAAATAATGGACCGGAATTTGGGAAAAGGATTATGGCTAATAATACTGGAAATGCAAAGTTCAGTTTCTTGATTTCGACAGATCCCTACCATGCATACTATCAGCATCGGTTGTCTGAATTCCGTGCCCAGAATTAGTCTTCTGGACAGCAACCATATACACAGCCTGCGGATTCTGCTTCACCTGAGTCTGCTCCACCAGGTCCAGCTGTAGATGGTGAAGCAGGAGCCCCAAAGCCTGATTTCTCAGCCCAGTTTAGACCGGTCCGCAAAGTGCTTGAACCACCACAAGCTTAGGAGTTTACTGTTCGTCTTCCTGAAGGTATTACTGGGGAAGAGTTGGATATTATTAAGCTCACAGCCCAGTTTGCAGCTCGAAACGGGAAAACATTTTTGCAAGGATTGACAAGCAGGGAAATGAAAACCACCAGTTCCATTTTCTGAAGCCTATGCATAGTATGTTCACGTTTTTCACTTCTCTGGCTGATGCGTATTCTAAGGTGATGATGCCTCCGGAGAATTGGCCAGATAAGCTTAAGAAAAGTGTTGCTGACATGACAACTGTGCTCGAGAGGTGTGTCCATCGATTAGGGTGGGAGCGTTCACAAGAGCAAGCAAGACAGAAGGCTGAAGATGAGATTGGGCAGGAAAGGATACAAATGGCTATGATTGATTGGCATGATTTTGTTGTGGTTGAAACAATAGACTTTGCAGATGATGAGGATGAGGATTTACCTCCTCCGATGACCCTTGAGGAGGTTATAAGGAGAAGCAAGAACGCAGATATGGAAGAAGACGTTGAGCCTGGTAAGGTGGTGGAAATGGAAATGGATGAAGAAGAGATGCAGCTTGTTGAAGAGGGCTTGAGGACATCTAGACTTGAAGAGAATGATGATGAAAAGAAGAATGAGAATGTGGTGATAGAGGACCCAGAACCACTAATAAGAATTGTGAAGAACTGGAAGAGACCCGAGGACAGGATCCCTGCCGAAAGAGACCCAACAAAGTATGTCATTTCCCCAATCACTGGAGAGCTTATCCCGATCAACGAGATGTCTGAACACATGAGGATTTCTCTCATTGATCCAAAATACAAAGAGCAAAAGGAAAGGATGTTTGCTAAGATTCGGGAGACTACTCTTGCTCAAGATGATGAAATCTCAAGAAACATTGTGGGCCTTGCACGAACCTGTCCTGATATTTTTGGTACCACAGAGGAAGAAGTTTCTAATGCAGTCAAGGCTGAGATTGAGAAAAAGAAAGATGAGCAACCAAAGCAGGTCATTTGGGATGGTCACACTGGAAGTATTGGCCGTACAGCAAATCAAGCAATGTCGCAGAATATCAATGGAGAGGACCAAAATGATGGTCTCAACAATGATGCTAGGAACCTTCCTGGTCCTGCAGCTCCTCCTCCAAGACCTGGTGTGCCTTCAATTCGT